CAAAAGGAACACCTACGTGAGAATGCTATTCATTGACTACAGCTCAGCGTTCAACACCATAGTGCCCTCAAAGCTCATCACTAAGCTAAGGACCCTGGGACTAAACACCTCCCTCTGCAACTGGATCCTGGAATTCCTGATGGGCCGCCCCCAGGTGGTACAGGTAGGTAACAACACATCTGCCACGCTGATCCTCAACACGGGGGCCCCTCAGGGGTGCGTGCTCAGTCCCATCCTGTACTCCCTGTTCACCCATGACTGCATGGCCAAGCACGACTCCAACACCATCATTAAGTTTGCCGACGACACAAGTGGTAGGCCTGATCACCGACAAGACAGCCTATAGGGAGGTGGTCAGAGACCTGGCAGTGCAGTGCCAGGAAAACAACCTCTCCCTCAACGTGATCAAGACAAAGGAGATGATCGTGGACTACAGGAAAAGGAGGGCCGAGCACGTCCCCATTCTCATCGACGGGGCTGTAATGGAACAGGTTGTGAGCTTCAAGTTCCTTGGTGTCCACATTACCAACAAACTATCATGGTCCAAACACACCATGACAGTCGTGAAGAGGGCACGACAACGCCTAGTCCCCCTCAGGAGACTGAAAAGATTTGGCAAGGGTCCTCAGATCCTCAAAAAGTTCTACAGCTGCACCATCGAGAGCATCCTGACTGGTTGCATCACCGCCTGGTATGGCAACTGCTCGGCCCCCAACCGCAAGGCACTACAGAGGGTAGTGTGTACGGCCCAGTACATCACTGGGGCCAAGCTTCCTGCCATCCAGGACCTCTAAGAATTGCCAAAGACTCCAGCCACCCTAGTCATAGACTGTTCTCTCTGCTACCGCACAGCAAGTGGTACCGGAGCACCAAGTCTAGGTCCAAAAGGCTTCTTAACATATTCTACCCCCAAGCCATAAGACTCCTGAACAGCTAACCAAATGGTTACCCGGACTATTTGCAAGTTGTCCAACAGCATCCAACCACAGCTTTTCAAAGGAGTTTTATATGGAGGCAACAGGCATCATGCTGGTGGCCTGTCAGGTAGGTTAGTGCTATCCGGGGTTCCTTGGGACATCCCTACCCTAAACTCAACCATAATCCTTACCTAACCCTTTCCTTGACCATTTTAAATGTAAACTTCAATGGATTAGGGACGTCCCAAGGATCCCGGAAAACGAGGACCCCGTCAGGTAGGAGGCATCCGTCAAACTGTCTGAAAGTGATGCCAACATGGCAGCCTTCCTCCTCCCAGACAGACAGAACATACAGACAGACACACATTTTACATTTACATTTGTCATTGAGCGACTTACAAAATTGGTGCATTCACCTTATGATAGCCAGTGGGACAACCACTTAAAAAAAAAAAAGGGGGTGTAGGGGGAGGGTAGAAGGATTACTTATATCCTATCCCAGGTATTTTGGGGGGGGGGGGGGGGGGGGGGGGGGGTGTAGGGGGAGGGTAGAAGGATTACTTTAATCCTATCCCAGGTATTCCTTAAAGAGGTGGGGTTTCAAGTGTCTCCGGAAGGTGGTGAGTGACTCTGCTGTCCCGGCGTCGTGAGGGAGCTTGTTCTACCATTGGGGTGCCAGAGCAGCGAACAGTTTTGACTGGGTTGAGCGGGAACTGTGCTTCCGCAGAGGTAGGGGGGCCAGCAGGCCAGAGGTGGATGAACGCAATGCCCTCGTTTGGGTGTAGGGACTGATCAGAGCCTGAAGGTACGGAGGTGCCGATCCCCTCACAGCTCCGTAGGCAAGCACCATGGTCTTTTAGCAGATGCGGGCTTCAACTGGAAGCCAGTGGAGTGTGCGGAGGAGCGGGGTGACGTGAGAGAACTTGGGAAGGTTGAACACCAGACGGGCTGCAGCGTTCTGGATGGTTGTAGGGGTTTAATGGCACAGGCAGGGAGCCCAGCCAACAGCGAGTTGCAGTAATCCAGACGGGAGATGACAAGTGCCTGGATTAGGACCTGTGCCGCTTCCTGTGTAAGGTAGGGTCGTACTCTGCGAATGTTGTAGAGCATGAACCTACAGGATCGGGTCACCGCTTTGATGTTAGCGGAGAACGACAGGGTGTTGTCCAGGGTCACGCCAAGGTTCTTTGCACTCTGGGAGGAGGACACAACGGAGTTGTCAACCGTGATGGCGAGATCATGGAGCGGGCAGTCCTTCCCCGGGAGGAAGAGCAGCTCCGTCTTGCCGAGGTTCAGCTTGAGGTGGTGATCCGTCATCCACACTGATATGTCTGCCAGACATGCAGAGATGCGATTCGCCACCTGGTTATCAGAAGGGGGAAAGGAGAAGATTAATTGTGTGTCATCTGCGTAGCAATGATAGGAGAGACCATGTGAGGATATGACAGAGCCAAGTGACTTGGTGTATAGAGAGAATAGGAGAGGGCCTAGAACTGAGCCCTGGGGGACACCAGTGGTGAGAGCAAGTGGTGCGGAGACAGATTCTCGCCACGCCACCTGGTAGGAGCGACCTGTGAGGTAGGACGCAATCAAAGAGTGAGCCGCGCCGGAGATGCCCAACTCGGAGAGGGTGGAGAGGATCTGATGGTTCACAGTAGATGAGAAGGATGAGAGCAGAGGAGAGAGAGTTAGCTTTAGCAGTGCGGAGAGCCTCCGTGACACAGAGAAGAGCAGTCTCAGTTGAATGACCAGTCTTGAAACCTGACTGGTTTGGATCAAGAAGGTCATTCTGAGAGAAATAACAAGAGAGTTGGCTAAAGAGTTTTGGAGAGAAAAGAAAGGGATACTGGTCTGTAGTTGTTGACATCGGAGGGATCGAGTGTAGGTTTTTTGAGAAGGGGTGCAACTCTCGCTCTCTTGAAGACGGAAGGGACATAGCCAGTGGTCAAGGATGAGTTGATGAGCGAGGTGAGGTAAGGGAGAAGGTCTCTGGAAATGGTCTGGAGAAGAGAGGAGGGGATAGGGTCAAGCGGGCAGGTTGTTGGGCGGCCGGCCGTCACAAGTCGCAAGATTTCATCTGGAGAGAGAGGGGAGAAAGAAGTCAAAGCATAGGGTAGGGCAGTGTGAGCAGGACCAGCGGTGTCATTTGACTTAATAAATGAGGATTGGGTGTCGTCAACCTTCTTTTCAAAATGGTTGACAAAGTCATCCACAGAGAGGGAGGAGGGGAAGGATTCAGCAGGGAGGAGAAGGTGGCAAAGAGCTTCCTAGGGTTAGAGGCAGATGCTTGGAATTTAGAGTGGTAGAAAGTGGCTTTAGCAGCAGAAACAGAGGAAGAAAATGTAGAGAGGAGGGAGTGAAAAGATGACAGGTCGGCAGGGAGTCTAGTTTTCCTCTACTTCCGCTCGGCTGCCCGGAGCCCTGTTCTGTGAGCTCGCAATGAGTTGTCAAGCCACGGAGCAGGAGTGGAGGACCGAGCCAGCCGGGAGGATAGGGGACATAGAGAGTCAAAAGATGCAGAAATGGAGGAGAGGAGGGTTGAGGAGGCAGAATCAGGAGATTGGAGGGAGAATGATTGAGCAGAGGGAAGAGATGATAGGATGGAAGAGGAGAGAGTAGCGGGAGAGAGAGAGAGAGAGCGAAGGTCGCGATGGCGCATTACCATCTGAGTAGGGGCAGAGTGAGTAGTGTTGGAGGAGAGCGAGAGAGAAAAGGATACAAAGTAGTGGTCAGAGACTTGGAGGGGAGTTGCAGTGAGATTAGTAGAAGAACAGCATCTAGTAAAGATGAGGTCAAGCGTATTGCCTGCCTTCTGAGTAGGGGGAGACGGTGAGAGGGTGAGGTCAACACACAACACCACTAGTGGTATAAAACTGTCATTACAGTGATTTATTATAATGAACCATGAAAATTGCCAACCAGTGCAGTGTCTGAGTCTCTCTCCTCCGCACAAACATACACTCACACACACAAACCATAAAAAAAGACTACATTGAATAGTCCAGAGAGGAAAAACAAAATAAAAAGTGCTACTGTCACAGAAACATTCAGCTTCGCCAAGAAGAGCGCTCGTATTTACAAACATATTCCAAAATGGGATGGGAGCGAATTGTACAAGCATAGAAAAGAAAAGAAGCAAATATATACAACCTGTTTCCGGAAAAAGCTGGAGTAACCACCTATACATTAAATTACACTTTCTACAAATAACCATTGATATTCAAAAATAAACCGCTAACGTCCTACCTACGGGTGAGCCCTCACTACCTCAGAAGACTACAGCACTCGTTTCACTCTACCACTCTTCCTTTCTCTCACTTTCCTTTCCCCTACTCACACAGCACAGACAGACAGATAGACACACACTCATACAGTCCATACACCACCTCACACATACACATGTGCACATACACACACACTGCAGCCTCCTGAGGCAGTGAAGCGGGCTCCCAGAATAGTATTTTCTGAATCACTGCAGCGGTGCACAGATATTTGTTACACAGAGGAATAAAAAATAATAATAATTCTGTATTACTCTATACAAAAAGCTTTCTGTTTGCTATAATGAGCCACTAGATAAAACGAATAAACGGTGTAGAAGAGCAGACAGACAAAGAGAAGAAGAAGTGAAAGGTGGACTAACTGACAAAGGGGGGTGGAGGCTGGAATGTACATTGATACAGAAAGTGCGGGACCTTACAATAGGAGTCCAAAACAGACAGACGGTTAGACGGATAGGCACTCTCTCCGCCACAGGAGGGAAATTCAAAAGAAAATGAGGGAGGGAGGGATGTCGGAGAGAGAGAGTGGGATGAGCACCGGGGGAATCGTCCATCTTCATTTCAAACACAAAGTCTCTTAATAAGATTGTTTCACGGTTCTTGTTTTCAGTTTGTCCTTTTAAAAAAGCACCCCTTTATCCCACGTTCTCCTGTTTTTCCATTGGCCATTAGTTCAGGTACATAGAAAATATTTACAGCTTTTGTTGCTTGTTGTGTTCCGCTGTCTGTCTGTCGTCAAGCCCCTCTCAGAGTGAGTTCATAGGGGCTGGCAGGGCCAAGGGGGAGGCCTGCATGGGGGTGGTCAGTGCCACCCCGTGCCCAGGTACCCAGCGTTGTGGAAGGGGGCGGGGGACGCAGGGGCCCCACGTGTCCCGCTGGGCATCTGAGTGGCGGTGGGCGTGGCCTGGGCCGGCTGAGTCTGCTGCTGGGGAGGAGGAGGAGGAGGGGGGGGCAGTCCAGTCTGCTGGTGGGGCGGGGGGTAGGTGGAGGGGGGCACCGAGGGGTTAGCGGTGCCGCCGGTGTGCATCAGCGGGGTAGGAAAGCCCCCCATGTTCTGAAAGTGGTGAGAGGCCTGCACCTGCATGGGGGCACTGGTGGAGGAGGCAGGAGGAGGAGGTGGGGGTGGAGGAGGAGGCAGGCCCTGGTTGAGTGACAGGAGGGTGCTGGCACTGGACTGCTGCAGCTGCTGCTGGTGGGTTTGGCCCTGTGGGGGAGGGGGCGGAGGGGGAGGGAGGGGCGACTGGGGGGAGGTGGTCAGGAGGAGCTGGTGCTGCTGGATTGGAGGAGGCTGCAGGTTAACGTGCATCAGGGCGGAGCCGGGCCCAGGGTGTTGTGGTGGGGGAGGAGGAGGAGGAGGGGGAGTGGCAGAGGTCTGGTAGTGCAGGGCGTGGGGAGGAAGAGTCTGCAGGAGGGGCTGGGCTCCATGGGGGAAGGGGGACGTCACGGCAGACTTGAACCCAGAGAAGGGCCCCACGGCGAGGGCTGACTGGCTGGGGAAGTAGGCCTCTGAGGCTGGAGGTGCTGGGGGAGGAGGGGGAGGCGGAGCGGACTGTGGGCTGTACTGGGAGAAGGGGGCCGGGCCTGGTTGAGCCTGGGGCTGGGTCTGAGGAGGAGCAAAGAGGAAGGCCCTCTGGCTGCGGTAAGGGGAGCCCTGGGCCTGGGGCTTGGGGGAGTGGAGGAGTGAGGGGGCAGAGTAGGGGGCAGCAGGGTGCAGCTTGGTGGGGGTCAGGGGGGCTGTCTTGGGTACAGCAGGCTTGCTGGGCTGCTGTGAGGCGGCCTGGGAGGGGGTACGAGGCCGGCTGTCACTCTCCTCCTCCTTCACTGGGTGACTGGCAGGCTGGGACGGGCTGCTGGGGCCAGGAGAACACGGCTAGGGAGGGAGAGAGAGACGGAGGGAGGGAACGGGTAAGTCATGAACAATAACCGTCTACATCAGGGGTAGGCAACTACATTCAGCCAGGGACGATTTTTGTTTGAGGGGCACACTGCAAATTGACTACAACTAAGCCCAAAAAGAGATTGTAAGAGAATAATTTCATACCTTGACTACATTGAGACTACATTAGTTTTTTTGTGGGAATACTTGGGAACAGATTTCCTAAATTAAACTCATTTTTAGCTGAATATTACGGTCTTTTCTGACCAAAAACTAAAACCCTATAAACCTTGGCGGGCCGGTTTTGGCCCACTGGCCGCCTGTTGTCGACCCCTGGCCTACATCATAGGCTGAGAGATGGCTGTGTTTGGCAGCATTATGTACTTCACACTATTGTTAGTGCTAGAAAGCAGAGTGTTTCTTACTGTGTGGGTTGGGGTCTTCTGCAGGCTAGGAGATGAACAATCTCTGACTGGGGCCTCACTGCCCTCGGTCTCTCCATCTGTAACAAGCACACACAGGCATACATTATTACAATTAAACTAAGATCCGTAAAGAAGTTATGTCCAAGTGGTGTGTGTGTGTGTGTGTGTACCTTTGTCCTTGCTGTGGTCGCTAAGTGACAGGGCTCTGTGGTAGCCACGCTCTCTTGCCTGCTCCACCGAGGTGGACGATGTCCACTGTCCTTCTCCCCCCTCTCTCTCCCCCTCGACGGGGGGCTCTGTGTCATCGCTGGGCTGGGGGGTCTTTGACTCAGGCAGGGTGGGGGCCACTGCAGCAGGGGCCACTGAAGCTTGGGCCGGAGCAGGAGCCAGGGGTGGAGGCTCTTGGGTGGTCTCCATGGGCAGAGGGAAAATCTCCACTAGGGTAGGTGTTGTAGAGATAGGCGAGCTGCATTCCATTTTGGAGCCGCTGCGCCGCGCCTCGCGCTGACGCTTCCTGTACTCCAGCAAAGACACCTGGGAAAACACATGACATCACACGACATCAGAAAACAGACATTCCTTTGTCAGTCCAGGAACCTTAACACAGCTTGAATGGGCAGGATGAATAGCAGCAGTTCACCTTTTTCTTCTGTGGGGGATTCTGTCCTGACCCTCCCTCTCCAGTGCTGTCTCCACTCAGTGAACGAGAGAAGCCCAGGGTTCCCCCCTCCTCAGGGCAGGGGTAGAAGAGAGACCCTGCAGCCTCTGTGAAGGGTCCTGCTGCCAAGGGTACTGGTACTGTCACTGCCCCGGCCACAACACCAGCCCCGGCCACAGCCACCACCTCAGGCCTGAAGGCCAAGATGGGCTCCAGGGTGTGTGAGGGGGTAAGGTCCCTCAGGTTAGAGTTGATGGGGGAGAAGGACAGACCCCCTGGCCCTGACAGACCTACTCTCTCTGGACTCTTCATCCAGGGGGGAAGGAGGGAGGATGAGGCTGGGTCTGTGGAGGAGGAGGGGGCCTCGCTGCTGTCCTCGGCCCCTGTCCCCGTCTCTGGCCCCTCCTCTCCCCCACAGTCCTGGGACTCAGCGGTGGGGGGCTGGGGGCTCAGGGGGGCACTGGCCTTGGCCTCAAGGGGGGGCAGTACGTCCAGACTGGGAGCCCTGACCGCTACACAGGGGGAGGAGAGCAGCGAAGGGGGCAGCTCAGCCTCTTGGGTGCTGGGTCTGCGACTGCCCTCCGGTGAGCTGTCCAGGGAAGACTCGCTCTGTGGACACAGGAAAAGAGATAATAACAAACTGTTCACTTCCCTCTGTGTGTGTGTGTGTGTGTGTGTGTGTGTGTGTGTGTGTGTGTGTGTGTGTGTGTGTGTGTGTGTGTAGGCGAGTGTGTCTGTCTTACTTCCTGCTGGGCACTGAGTGTGTGTGTGGGGGTGCTGGGTAGAGGCTCAGGGCTCGGCTCCTCCGTACGGGTGATGCGGGGCGGCGTGGCCAGCAGGAGGGGCGTACCCGGCGTCTCTGATAGGTCGGCCCGGGTTGGCGTGGCACAGGGAGAGCAGTAGGGTGTGGAGCTCTCTGACATGCAGGCTTCCAGCGGACACATACCCAGACGCCGCTTCTTCAGAGGAGTGGGCAACTCTGTATGTCACACACACACACACACACACACACACACACACACACACACACACACACACACACACACACACACGGAGGAAGTGTCACTCACATGCACAAAAAAACACACACACTTGCATACAAGATTTATGTTCCTTATAAGTTATAACAAACATATTCCCACACACACATTCCTGAGTCCTCACCAGAGTCCTCACCTGGCAAGGTGCAGCAGCCGTTGTAGGGGAGGGGGCTGTCAGAGTCCCCGTTGATAGGGGGGCTGAGAGGGCCCTCGCTGGGCATGACCAGGGTGGGCTGGCCGCTGCTTGGTGGAGGGGTGGTGGTCTCCTCCTCTAGAGCCTGCTTCAACCAGCGCTGTGGGGAGAAGACAGGGAGGGAGGCGACTTAGACATGTCAACCAGAAATACAATTACATTTACTGGTAATACTGTCAGTCCGTCTCTCTGCTGGTAATACTGTCAGTCCGTCTCTCTGCTGGTAATACTGTCAGTCCGTCTCTCTGCTGGTAATACTGTCAGTCCGTCTCTCTGCTGGTAATACTGTCAGTCCGTCTCTCTGCTGGTAATACTGTCGTTCTGTCTCTACCCTGCAGCTATACCTGACAGCTAACACTCTCTCCATTCCCCTGCGGGGTGAACAACATACCTTCTTGCAGGAGCCTGTGGTGGGTGGCGTGTCGGGCAGCTCGCGGGAGCGCCGGCGTCCGGTGGGCACCCCAGGGGTGGTGGGGCTGCGGTTGGCCAGGAAGGGCGAGGAGAAGCGGACGTAGTGTTTGGGCGTGCTGTAGACGTGCGGGCTGGGGCCCATGCCGGGCAGGGCGTTGAGCTGGGTGGCCAGCACCTCCGGGTCGCTGCTGATCCTCAGGGGCCTCTCTGGGGCCGGCTCTGGGGTCCGCAATGAGCGCTCATGCTTGTCGACGCACCACTCACTCACTAAGTGCTGTAGAGAGAGAAAGAGAGAGCTTTAGTCACAAGCAAACTGCATTTGATTATAGTATTGAGTGACATTTCACTAGTAGGAATATAACATTCCTCTAAGTCGAAATAGAATAGTGACTAGCCGTGTTTAGGGGTGAGCACTGAGCCGTGGGTAGGGTACCTTTTTAGTTTTGGGGTACTTCTGCCCAGAGCGGTTTCTGTCGGGGGCCGGGGAGCCACTGTAAGGGGGGCTGGTGTCGGGGGCATGGGAGGAGAGGGCCTCTGGTTCGGGGTCCCTGGAGGCCTCTCCGTCTGGGCCGTCATTGGCCAGGGGGTCCAGGAGTTCCCCGGGCGAGCCGGGAGGTATGTCAGAGCAGGTGCTGATGGTGCGCGCTCGCCGCCGCTGCTGCCCGATGTGGGTGCGGCTCCGCGAGAAGCTCTTCCTCTGCTTGCTGCCTCGCAGCTTGGCCGGCGTGGGCTTGTTGAGACCCGGCTCCTCCTTCACCTCTAGCAGGGGCTGGGAGAGACAGACAGACAGGGAGAGACCGGGTTAGGATAGAGTACAGTAGCATAGTTTTGGATGGGTTTATAATTACCTTTAGATTATTGAGAACATTCTCTTTTATACTAATGACCTGGTGTAACCAATGTTGAGTCAACTATCAGTGATGTGTGGTTGTGCGTGCGCTTACCGTCATGATACTAGGAGACTGCATGTCAGCCTCGGGGGTGGCAGGGGGCTCCTCCTTGATGCCCCCCTCTGACTTGGTGCCGATCCTCTCCAGGGCCTGCTCCCGCCTCTTCTCCCTCTTCTCCATGCGGGCAAAGGCCTGCAGGATGGCCTCCATCTTCCTCTCTTCACGGGTCTGTAGCGGAGGGGGAAAGGAGAGAGGGGGACAAAGTGGTAAGTGTTAGTCTCCTGCTCCACTGGGCCTAGAGGGGGAGGGACACGTTATCGCAACACAGGACAGGCAAGAGGCAGTCTGGCTAGCTAGCTGGCAGAAATAAACAACAGTGCCACAGAATGACAGAAAAAAAAAAAAAAACATTTTCCCTTCCAATGGAGACAAAAACAACGGAGATGGAACAAGTCAAAACCCTGTTGATGTGAGAGATGTCAGACAAAACAACATGGAACTGGGAGGTCGGAAAGTAACATTAGACCCTTACCAAACCATTCAGGGTGTGTGTATATGAGCCAGGGAAAGGTTTTTATAACACTCCGGCTGCCTCCACCAGACAGGGCACCAACACTAGCTTTACCACCCCTAGTAGCAGAGACACACTGGGGTCTGCCACAGGGCCGGTCAGTGGAGAGAAGATGGAGGTGGTGGGGGGGGGGGGGGGCAGTTAGTATGTTTGTCAGTCAGTGGGGTCCCCTATGAGGTGGAAGGGGCAGGCAGGCAGGCAGGCAGGCAGGGGGGTATGTTTGGGGGGGAAGGGGGTTGGTGGGTCAAGTTTACCTCCGGTTTACTCAGTCCCAGACAGCTGGAGGCCCCCACGCCGTGCAGATGGGACTCCTCCGCTGGGCTGGCCTGAATGGTTTACAGAGAGACAGCCTGGTTTAGAAGACAAGAGGCCCGGGTCCCCCCCAATAACACATATACACATAAACACACCACCAGGGTTCCCCACTCTAAGGGCTTCAGTGTGTCGCCAACCCACAGGGATCCTCTGGGACAGGTGGGCAGCCGAAGGGGGGGTGGAGGTGACCTGGGCACTACAGTGTTATCAAAGAGGGGAGAGAAGAGGGGCGCACATAGGGAGAATGCCTGCCTTCTGCCTGTAGACGCATGTCCAGTTAGGGCTTCTTCACCTCGTCTGCTTACACCAGCTTACCCAGTAGGAGGAAGACTTTTTATTTTTCCAATTCTCTCAGTCATACTGGGCTCAATGAATGAACAGTGATTTCAACACAACCCACCAGCACTGGAACTCAGCCACATGTTCACCACATCACCAGCGTCATAAACCACATACTGCACCCACGACACATGGCAAGAAAACCAATGAAGACAATAGCAACCAACCCAATCACCAACTTTCACCAAGGTTGATGACAAGCAACTGCATACCATCTGCAACACCAAAACCGAACCTTAGTGCAACCTGTGTGTGTGTTCCATGCCATGTCAGTATCCCTGGCATCTTTAATATGAGTGTGGGTCAAATACCATGCCTAACACACACAGACATCCCCAGTGTTAAGAGCCCATGCGGACAGGGCATTGTTGTGGATGCGTGGTTAGGGTTGGACACCATACATACACCAGACCAGAGGGTGACTGTTACATCAGAGGACAGTGAATCCAGAAGCTCTTTCTTCCACAGTAGAGAGGGGGTTCCTCCTCCTGGACCAGCTTGCAGCTTCCCTTGGAGGGAGGGAGGCAGGCTATTGGATTACCCAGAGTCAATAAGGCCCTGGCACAGAGTAGTTGTGCCCAGCCCCCCCTCTTCTCTCTCTCCCTCTTTCTGGGCTATTTAGCAGAGCCAGAGCCAGTCCATTGGCCAGAATGATGAGTCAGCGCTTTACACCTTGGGCCTCGTCGTGTGAAAGGGAGCTGACGGCAGGGTAATTTCCAGAGTGTGTGTATGTGTGTGTGACCCCATCTCTCCGGGTCACCAGAGCTCTTTAGCAGGGGAGAGGAGAGAGATTGCGAACAGTAATTGGCCATTTCAAAAGTTGGCCAATACTGTACGTGAGGGTCATACTCAGTCACACAGGGAGAGTTCCAGTACTTACGTGTGATGAGGCTGGGGCTCTTGTATACTCAGCTAATGAGAGGGGAGGAGGAGGGGGGTCTGTGGCTCTGGAGGGCCCGGAATGGTGTAATGTGTGGTGTACCGGTTTAGCAAATGAACTCTTAAATAAATGAGGAAAATAACCCATGTATAATGATGACTAAAAACAGAGCCTCAGTGTTTGAGGGCTCTGCCAGAGGAAGTGAGTGAGCGACAGAGAGTAGGGGGGGGGGTGAACCCCGCGTGCTAGGCTACACAGCAACAGGATGAGGCAGAGACAGCAGCAGTAGCAGGGAGGTGGGGGGGGGGTTCGTGGGGGGAGATGGGGGAAACCACCGCCACACAAACAGTGACCCACACCAGCAAGGATGAGCTTCCTATGGGGGTGGGGGGGTTATGGGCTGCACACAGCAGGGCGCGCTGCAGCCCTGGCACACTGAACTTACCATCTTCCTCTTTCTCTCTGCAATGGTCTCCTCTGACTCCATCTCTACTTCACTGCTAACCGAGTTATCAGGTTGGTCTTCTACATCCTCTAACTCTGTCCGATCCTGTTAGAGGGGGAGAGGAGGGGGGGTGGCGCTTTATCATGGCACTGACCAACCACAGGCAGTCTGGCTACAGACTAGAGGGTCTAGAGTAGCGAGGGGGTAGGTGGGGGAGGGAGAGAGAGGGGAGGGGATCGTCTGGGGGAGAGTGACAGTTGGGGGTACTGACTGGGGACATGGTGGCTTTGTCTGTGCACAAACTTGCTCAATGCTTGTATTCGGTCCTAGGCAGTCAGAATGACAGCGAAACGCAAACCGTACCCCCTTTTCCAAGAAGAGCGAGAGACCAAGCTCACTTCTGTAGTGCCTTGTGCTGCGTTGTTTTGAGCCCACTCCCAACAACTACCCTGTAATATATCAAGTGGTGGCTTGTGGTCACACAAAGGTCTGTTTGCGCACAATGACAGATGTGGACAGCTTCTGTATTCAGCGAGTGCATTTCTTTGTTTGTGCGTGTTGGTCCGATAGCGATGCCTCGCACTTCACCGTTCACATTCTAGACCATATATCAGTCTACCCAGTCTCCATAAACCATCCTTCTGTGTGCTTCCCCCAGATCTAAGATCAGTCCTTAAAATCACTCATCGTGGGAACTACCAGTCCCTACCACAGAAGCAACTTGCTTGCCGATAAGACCTATGGCCTGGGTCGGGGTTATTAGACAACCCTGGGTCGGGGTTATTAGACTTACTGGACAGGTTCAGATAGTACCTGCCAGTTTCACATTGAACGTTTTCTTCCGTTTGGTGTCTACTGAACACAACCTTGGGGACCAGCACAGCAACAGAGGTCTTTCTCTCTGTGTAATACTGAGTAGAGGGATGCCTAGTGGTGCGTTCAGGAGCTACTGCAGCAGAGATGACACAGCGTGATAGCATGTCTCATCTGCCACCAGAGAGGGCTAAATGCCATCCAAACGCCAGACAGCTCTGAGCAGCGATACACGGTACAGTGAGAGCAAACGGCTGACAGTGGTGAGAGAAGGCTGGGTGCAGGAGTGGGCTTTGGGCCAGGGAGAGGGGGAACCAAGACGGATGATAGAAGAATACAAGTGGTCTACTAATGGATAACACTAATAAAACAGAAATACAGCAAACATAACAGAAACATTGAAAAATGGCTACACACATGGACATTGGACGCTAACTAAATGGAAAACAAGCTAAATATGATAACACAAAGAGGTCTTTAAGGGGAACGCCAACTTATAGGCTCCTATAGGGCAATCCTGAACAAAGAGCGTGATAGAGAAGTGTGATGGGGGTAGGGCTGTGTGATGGGGTTAAGGGGTGTGTGTGTGATGGGGATAGGGTGTGTGTGTGTGTGTGTGTGTGATGGGTATAAGGTGTGTGTGTGTGTGTGTGTGTGTGTGTGTGTATGTGATGGGGATAGGGTGTGTGTGTGTGTGTGTGTGTGATGGGGATAGGGGGTGTGTGTGTGATGGAGACACGGATTGCGTGATGGTTGCCAGGGAATCGTCATGTTGTTTGGCAGGAGGTGGGGTGATAGGCTCCTTGTGCCTCGGCCCCCAGGCCCTGGCCCTGGTCCAGTGGGTCATTTTGTTCTGGGCCAGTGGGTCCCCTCACACATCTGCAGTCCCTTGTCCTGACGGAGCGTGGGGGAGATGGGGGCAAGGTCAGTGGGCAGGTAGGGCTCAGAGATGGGTGGGGAAAGAGCAGAAAAGAGAGGATAGAGGGGGGAGAAGGAGAGAGGGAGAGAGAAGTAGAGGGAGAGAGGAGAGAGGGGAGAAGATAGAGGGAGAGGAAGGGGGGAGAAGGAGAGATGGGGGAGAAGATGAGAGGGAGAGATGGGGGGAGAAGGAGAGAGAGGAGGGGAGAGAGAGGGAGAGATAGAGGGAGAGATGGGGGGGAGAAGATAGAGGGCGAGATGGGGGGGAGAAGGAGAGAGGGGAGAAGATAGAGGGAGAGATGGGGGGGAGAAGGAGAGAAGAGGGGAGAAGATAGAGGGAGAGATGGGGGGGAGAAGGAGAAAGAGAAGGTAGAAAGACAACATGGTTGAGGGTGACCAATCTTGTCTTGTTGTGTGTGTGTGTGTGTGTGTGTACTAGGTGATATATTCCACCCTGCTTACCAGCAGCCATAGTCATAGTCGAAGCCTATGGTGATCTCGGTGCCTTTGGTGATGGACCTCAAAGAGTAAATGTACAAATGGAGCATACCATCCTCTATTACATGACGCACCTGAGAGAGAGAGAGAGAGAGACAAAGAGAGAGAGAGAGAGCAAAAAAGGGAGAGAGAGAGCATGAGGCACCCACTGAGACTTATGAAGTTACATTAAGTTGAGGTTAGTGGCTCTGGGGGGTGTGGTCAGGGTTTAGAGCCGTAGGTTTAGTATCGTGGTCTGCGATTGGCCACTCACCTCAGAGTTGGGGGTGCAGGAGCGTCGGATGAAGCGGGCCTCGTTGCCAAAGCTGCGGGCGTCCACACACATCTCCAGACCGTCAAACTTTGAGTAGAACAACACAAAAGGGTACGGCCTGGAGAGAGAGAGATGAATGAAATGCAGGGCAGACAGACATAGTAACAGATTGGGGATGTCCATATGGTGCCATGGGGAAGATAGCCAGGAGCTCAACGGGAGCTGACAGAGGACTTTACTGCCCACTGCCAAGAAAGAACCACAACACAAATACATACCCCTTCCTTCTACCGATCTCTCCCTCTACCTCTCAAATGTCTCAATAAAACATACAACTATAAAAAGGAGTGTAGAATTCCACTTAAATTTGAGCTGAGGATTCTACTTGAGCTCAGGTTTCCACCAGATGGGTCCTCACCTCTTGAAGAAGCATCCGTTGGCCTCAAACTGCTGTCGCAGCATGAACTTGCCCCTGTACTCTATGATGAGGGAGTCTGGAGCCAGGTCCCTCACTGCCTTCATGATCTTCTTATTCTTCTGAACCTGGCTCTGGAGAGGGGAGAGACAACAGGACATCAGGTAAGATGCTGCCCGCTCAGGCAATTTAAGGACAAATGTTTGTCAGTCATTGTGTCCGTTTCAGCTACCTCCACAGGTGGTTTGAAGGCGGCCGTGCGTGTGTTGTAGGCCAGGGTCTTGCCGTCGCCGGCCTCCTTGACGCGGAGCAGGATCTGGACGTCCTCGCTGTACTGGTTGCTGCCGGCCTCCTCGTAGGCCTCCATCCAGGCCTTCATCTTGTTCTCCCACAGAGATGGGTGCTCCCCTGGCTCCATGTCTGGAGCGCCACCCTTTACTCTGGAGGATTTCCTGGAGCCCTCACGGAACGCCTGTTAGACAAGAGACTCCAGTGAGCAGACAGCATAACCAACAAGGTTTACCACCATTTAAGAGACATTACATTGTGCAAAACTAATTTACAGATTTTTGTCAAATTAAACATGCCAAAACAACTTATTTTGGAGAGAGTTGCTCCACTTACAAATACATGTAAAGGCCAGAGGCACAGTTGGGGGCTAGATAAGAAGCTATTGAGGTTTGAATGGAAGTTTGAACACAGACCTTCTTGGCTCGGGCCGGCTCCTTGTCTCCGCTCCTCTTGCGTTTCTTGTCGGCCTGCTTGTTGCCTGCCAGGCGGCCGGTGGTCAGTGTGATGCTGGTGGGTGTGTGCTGGAAGGCCGTGTACAACTCCAGCGGCACCTCGTCCCCACTCTCTGTGGCACTGGTGTCCCCGTCTGCAGAGATACATACCGGTATGCCTTAATAAAGCATTGGTAATAAAGGTTTATTTGTGTATCTTGTACAGCAGGGTCCAACCAAAGCAATGTTTTCCTGTTTCTAACTGATTTAGACAAATTATTTCTCAAAGGTAAAAACAAGATTTTCCATAGCACAGTCTGCCATTCTTAATGTCTGCATTGTTGAATTACTCGATGTGACCAGCAGGTGTCAGCCTGCAGCTGAATCATAAATGTGGTAACAGCAGCCATTCACAAGCTTTGATTATTTGAATAGGGTAAATTGGGGGGGAAACCCTGGGCTAAACAACAAGGCCGGTCAGATGTGGCCTGGGTGGCTTCAGACCTGCAGGGGGGAGAGGCTGCAGTATGGAGCAGACTGACTTACACAGCCTTTATCACACTGCCATCTGATCTGAGAGCTGTTTACTGCAGCGCACTGGGAGGGACTGGAGGAGGTAGGTATATATATATATATCTCACCATCTCTCCACTCACCGGACATGTTCTCCCTCTTGCGGGTCTGAAGCACGATGGCCCGGTCTCTGTCCAGGCTGCGCGGCTGGCAGCGCTCACACAGGTACGTCTCAGGAATGTGCTGCCTGTCGATCCCCATGCAGTCTATGTGCTGCCACACACTGACAGAAGAGAGAGGAGAGGGCAGAGGGTCAGACACAGTAACAGCAGCCATTCACAATGCAACAGTGGCGTCTAGACAGGGGTCACTTATCCCATTGAGAGGTTGATACACTGATGAGACATGGACACTGTTTGAATCCTAGAATGCTTATGAATCACTGCTAGGACAGTCTGGACTCTGTGGTCTAAAGCACTGAGACCTGATGAAGGGGAGTCCAGGGTCTTTCCCAGTTCCTACCTGCACTTGTCGCAGCAGATCATGTAGCCATCGTCATGGGTGAAGCCACAGATGCAGCGGGTGATGTCAGCCCCGTAGCTGCCGTCCTCCGAGGTGCTGAGTGTGGTGCCCCTGGACGCCTCGTCCTGCAGGCCCCCCGGCACAAACAGCCCCTCGCCCGGCTGGATCAGCATGGAGGGGGGAGGGGAGGCCGGGGGCGTGGGCGGGGGGCGCGCCCCATAGTTGTGGTCCTGGGGAGGAGGACAGAAAGGTGTTGAGGGTGACACATACACCAGGTTTATACCAGAGAAAACTATCTATGGCGTTCTCGCCATCGCTATGGTTTATAGTATACTCTATGTCAAACATTGAAATTCTAATTTAACAATTGCAAACGGCCACTTCCTTCCAATATGAATTGTTCAATTGTTAAGACTGCATTGTGATTGACCCTAACCCAGGTGAGTGAACTAGCCTGTATGAGGAGTAAACTACATTAGCATGGAGGAAGCTAGCTAGCTAGCTTGACTGATGATGAACCAGGAAGGAGAGAGCTGAGTTCAGGTATATTAGGTCAGGTAGCAGGTGAGAGAGAAAGAGAGAGAGAGAACGAGAGAGAAGTATGCTATGTAGCCAGTACTGTAGTCTAGTAGCACTGTGATGTAGTCTACTGTACAGTAGTGCACGGGTTCCCAAACTAGGGTCCGGGGACCCCAATACGCTGTATAGCCTATAATAGTGTCAGTGTACTGTATTATAGTGTACGGTAGTGTCAGTGTACTGTATTATAGTGTACGGTAGTGTCAGTGTACTGTATTATAGTGTACGGTAGTGTCTGTGTACTGTATTATAGTGTACGGTAGTGTCAGTGTACTGTATTATAGTGTACGGTAGTGTCTGTGTACTGTATTATAGTGTACGGTAGTGTCAGTGTACTGTATTATAGTGTACGGTAGTGTCTGTGTACTGTATTATAGTGTACGGTAGTGTCAGTGTACTGTATTAGTGTACGGTAGTGTCAGTGTATTGTAATATAGTGTATGGTAGTGTCAGTGTATTGTAATATAGTGTATGGCAGTGTCAGTGTATTGTAATATAGTGTATGGTAGTGTCAGTGTACTGTATTATAGTGTATGGTAGTGTCAGTGTATTGAAATATAGTGTATGGTAGTGTCAGTGTATTGTAATATAGTGTATGGCAGTGTCAGTGTATTGTAATATAGTGTATGGTAGTGTCAGTGTACTGTATTATAGTGTATGGTAGTGTCAGTGTATTGTAATATAGTGTATGGTAGTGTCAGTGTATTGTAATATAGTGTATGGCAGTGTCAGTGTATTGTAATATAGTGTATGGTAGTGTCAGTGTATTGTAATATAGTGTATGGCAGTGTCAGTGTATTGTAATATAGTGTATGGTAGTGTCAGTGTATTGTAATATAGTGTATGGCAGTGTCAGTGTACTGTATTATAGTGTATGGTAGTGTCAGTGTATTGTAATATAGTGTACGGTAGTGTCAGTGTATTGTAATATAGTGTACGGTAGTGTCAGTGTATTGTAATATAGTGTATGGCAGTGTCAGTGTATTGTAATATAGTGTATGGTAGTGTCAGTGTACTGTATTATAGTGTATGGTAGTGTCAGTGTATTGTAATATAGTGTATGGTAGTGTCAGTGTATTGTAATATAGTGTATGGCAGTGTCAGTGTATTGTAATATAGTGTATGGCAGTGTCAGTGTATTGTAATATAGTGTATGGTAGTGTCAGTGTACTGTATTATAGTGTACGGTAGTGTCAGTGTATTGTAATATAGTGTATGGTAGTGTCAGTGTATTGTAATATAGTGTATGGCAGTGTCAGTGTATTGTAATATAGTGTATGGTAGTGTCAGTGTACTGTATTATAGTGTATGGTAGTGTCAGTGTATTGTAATATAGTGTATGGTAGTGTCAGTGTATTGTAATATAGTGTATGGCAGTGTCAGTGTATTGTAATATAGTGTATGGTAGTGTCAGTGTACTGTATTATAGTGTATGGTAGTGTCAGTGTACTGTATTATAGTGTACGGTAGTGTCAGTGTATTGTAATATAGTGTATGGCAGTGTCAGTGTATTGTAATATAGTGTATGGTAGTGTCAGTGTAGTGTATTATAGTGTACGGTAGTGTCAGTGTATTGTAATATAGTGTATGGTAGTGTCAGTGTACTGCATTATAGTGCATTGGTGTGTACTGCTGTGTAGTGTTGAAGTGTGAGTGTACTCACGGCGTAGGGCAGCCCAATGTAACTGTGGGAGTGGTGAGAGTTAATGCTGTAGATCTGGTGCGGGTAGCTGGACTTCTCCACCACCACAGGGCTGGCCTCTACCGATTCTGGTCTGCTGGACAGAGAGACAGGGAGAGAAACAGAGTTAGGAGGGGGATCCCATTCACAACAGTAACAGAGAAGAGAGAGAGATCAGTGCATTGTAAAATGAAAGAGACATGAAAGAGGGAGAGAAACAGTAAGAAGGGGATTCCATTTACAATAGAGAGAGAGAGAGAAGAGCGAGAGAGAGAGAGAGAGAGAGAGAAGAGAGAGAGCACAGAGAGAGAGATTGTAAAATGAAAGATAGACATGCAAAAGGGAGGGAAACCGTTAGGAGGGAGATTCACTACAGTACAAGGGGAGATATGAGTGTAGCGTAAAACGACAGGTAGACAGAGAAAAGGGTAGAATAGAAGAGAGAATCTCCTCATAAGCAGTGAGTGTTTTGTTGTGCTTCATTGATTCTCCTCTTCCACTGGCTTAATGAGGAGTGTTTATTTGGGGAGCTGACAGTGGTTTTGACACAGAGTGGAAGAGGCATAAGGATCACAGAGGCCAGAAGCCCTGTGTGTGTGTGGCCTGGTCCCGTCATATCACCTCAGCTAACTGGACAGAGCTGATACATTTACATTTAAGTCATTTAGCAGACGCTATTATCCAGAGCGACTTACAGTTAGTGAATACATTTTTTTTTTTTTTCATACTGGCCCCCCGTGGGAATCGAACCCACAACCCTGGCGGCGTTGCAAACACCATGCTCTATCAACTGAGCTACATCCCTGCCGGCCATTCCCTCCCCTACCCTGGACGACGCTGGGCCAATTGTGCGCCGCCCATGAGTCTCCCGGTCGCGGCCGGCTGCGACAGAGCCTGGATTCGAACCAGGATCTAGTGGCACAGTTAGCACTGCGATGCAGTGCCTTAGACCACTGCGCCACTCAGGAGTATGAGTAGCAGGGCAAATAACTAAATGGGGGGCCTAATCTCTCCACAATAAAGACCATTTAAACCTGAGCCCCATTTCTGAAGGACACACACACACACACTACTGGAGGCTCTCACACACACACACACACACACACACACACACACACACAACATTCACACACGCAGTAACAATAACAGGCATTCACTTCTGTGAGCTCATTTATCAAACCGGTATATCCACTTTCATTCTATGACATCGCAGTGGCGCAGAGAAAGCCTGTCAGGCTGTTTGAAAATTAAACCAAGGACATGGGGGTAAGGTTAACTACGCTAGTTCTCACTGGCATTGAAGGAGGGAGTAGTGGTTAAAAAAAACGATGCAAAAAGGGAAGTGGGATTGACAAACGGACAACAGAGGGGAGACAATGAAGGAGTGAAGGGAGGAGTGGCACTGTCAGGAGAGAAGTGCCTTTAGAGAGTAGGGAAGAAAGAGACCAGTGACAGGCCAGACAGAGTTGAGACTCGAGGCTGATTTGTCATGACAAATCCAAAGGCTAGCTGATGTTCCAACAACTAATACTCCAACTCCTACACACAAACAGCCTGTTGGTCAGTCCTGAGGAAGAAACTCCACCAAATCCTCCCTTTCTCATCCAGGATAGTCCAGACAACTGCTTCAAGGTCAAAGAGAGGGAGAGTGAAGGCGAGAGAGGAGAGAGAAAATAGAGATTCCCCAAAGGTGTATCCGAAGCTGGCTTTGCACATTCAAACATCTCGGAAGCAGAGACAAAATGAAACCTTGACAAGAGGCCAACTGCCCTGCCAAGACGTTTAGCTAACAATGCAGACTACAAGAGAAAAGCCCACTAAATAAACTGGACAGCTTCAAAGGTACCGTGTTACAAACTGTATATGTGGTCTGATGGCGTAGTAGAATGCCTGAGGGGATGCTCTGGCTGTACGGCTCAAACAGGCTATGTAGCATATCTGGACATCTAGTACTAGGAACAGCTGACACAAACCCAGAATAATAAAGAGAAAATATGTGAAACTCCACACACACACACACACACTGCCCAGCAGAAACACTTCTAGCCAGCAACTGGAATACGTGACAAGCCAAGACAGTTCGTAGCATCACAGTAGTGTAGCAAAACTAGGCTACTCCAACGAATGGACGTGCCACGTGTCTGCGTGTTAAAGTACAAACACACACTCCTCTCCAATGCTCCAACCCTCCCTTTCCTTCCTTCCTTCTAGTCACCCCGTCCCTCCTAGGGTAAAGCAGCAGTACAGTACCTGGTGGAGTCAGTGGTTCCCCCCCTAGTCTCACCGCGTGCTGCACACCTTGACCTCCCAACGCTCACTGTGCAACACTTCCTTAAACATGGTATTGGCGCTCAAGCAGTAGGAGCTTTGTGTCAAAGTGAAAATGTAAGTGCAAAAAGGTCTAGGGGTGGGCCCCGGGGAAGGTGTGTGTACATAACTCGCTGAAACACACACACACACACACACACACACACACACACACAGTTCACTACCCTCTCCAGGGCAGAGAAGTAACCCAAACCAAATAAACTTGAAAGTAGGCTACTGGCAACTGTGTGTGAATGATTTACTAGGGTAAAATCTATACTTCATAATCGGGGATTTGCAGGGATGTAGCATGCATCATTCAGTGGTGAGAGGGAACGTTTTCATTCATGTATTAAAATGAAATCAGTGATAGTATGATGAGTAATTCAGTTGGTAGAGCATGGCATTTGCAACGCCAGGGTTGTGGGTTCGATTCCCACGGGGGGCCAGTATGAAAATGTATGCACTCACTAACTGTATGTCGCTCTGGATAAGAGCGTCTGCTAAATGACTAAAATGTAAATGTAAATGTAATTAAAATGGGCTTTATAGTGTTTTCCTGGAATAGTCCCTCTGGTGAGAGAGGGGGATGATGTAAAAAGGAGAAGAGAATAGACGAGTGAGTTTGTTTGACGGATGCCGAGGGGCCATGTTTGGTCTCAGTGTGACTGGGCTAGAGGGACTGAGAATGACTGCATCAATCTTGTATGTCTCATAGGAAGTCAGGGACCAAGGGACAGAGACAAAGTCCATGATGCTATAGTCAATCACAATCTCATACAATCACACACACACACACGTCTAGGGGGAAGCTATGCGATGTGAGACACTGGGAGACTCAGAGAGCAAAGACAGCAGAGAGAGACAACAGAGATGGAATGGAGGTTTCAATTAAAACAGAGAGCTAGGCTAGGCATGTGCTAATCATAGCTCACAGCTCAAGAGAGAGCTTATGGAGCAAGAGATCACACATACACAGAGAGAGAGAGAGAGAGAGCAATTCTGCACAGCCAGAGGCAATGCCTTCACTCCAAAGTGTTTCCACTCACTGCCATGGCAACTCAATGTAGCCGTTGGCGAGCACACGCACACTGTGCCCCTGGGTAGCTAGAATAACACACGGCCACAACACGCAGCTTGTCACGACACACACACACACACACACACACCCCAGCTCCTCACAACGCTGCATCCTTCAGAGGGAGGTGGAGAGGCCGTGACCACACCTCTGGGGGTAGCCCTGGTGTTCCTAGGGTTAGCACGCTAACAAGCTAATGCTAACCTCTGCTCTGTGTTCAGAACACGAGGGCCTCAAAGGGCACCAAGGATCTGTGACATGTCCAGTTTTATCAGTAGGGTAGTAGGAAGAGGGCTAGATGATAACTACCCTGGTATGTGGGCACAGTGGCGGTAGGTAGTTCTGTGTGTGTGAGTTTTACAGCCAGCCAGCCAGCCAGCCAGCCAGCCAGCCAGCCAGCCAGCCAGCCAGCCAGCCAGCCAGCCAGCCAGCCAGCCAGCCAGCCAGCCTCTGTGCTCTGTATGAAACCTTCACAGCGGAGGCCCAATTCAAGCTCGTTAACTTCTTTTGACGAAATCTGAATCAGGCAGGGGCAGGCAGACGCAGGGCGGAGAGAGAGGGCTTAAAACCCGCCCCTATGAACAGAAGGGCCCTGGGATGAGACGCGACCCTAAAAAAAGCTCACTGGAAGGGGGGAGGAGGGGGAAAGAGAGGTGAGCGCGACTGGAACCATTTAAGACGCCTTAACCGCAAGAGGGCCACCTGTCATTCAGCCCGGTGACCATGGCAATGGCCCCTGCGCAGTGCGGAAGGGAGACGTTGGGGGGAGGTTTCCATGGCAACCAGCGGTGGCTGCCCGCAACAGCTCTTAAGGCTGGGGGAGAGTGACACGGCCCCATTTAAAGAGACAAGCCCCTCTAAAAGCACACCTCTCTATTCTTCAACCACAGGAGCACAGATGAGGTCTCTCTTATTTGTCTATAATACCTTGACTGTATCCTTGAGGAGAGTATAGGACAGACTGTGAGGAGGGCAGTATGTTGTTGTTGCACAGAGTACAGACAAGGATCAGGTGCGTCATTTTCAGAGTAAAATTCTCCCTCCACTTGGAGGTATCAGGTTGGTAGGAGTCATTCTAAATCATGACATTAGCTACACTGACAGTGTATTACACAGAAGCAACAACTTAGAAATATAAAGTGAACAGTAAGGGTGTGTGACGCTAGATAGTCATAAGCACAGCATAATGGGCTCCGGAGTGGCGCAGCGGTCTAAGGCACTGCATCTCAGTGCTTGAGGCGTCACTACAGACCCCCTGGTTCGATTCCAGGCTGTATCACAACCGGCCGTGATTGGGAGTCCCATAGGGCGGCGCACAATTGGCCCAGCATCGCCCGGGTTTGGCCGGTGTAGGCCGTCATTGTAAATAAGAATTTGTTCTTAACTGGCTTGCCTAGTTAAAAAAAGCTCTTCTGCCTCATATCTTCTCTACAAAGTGTGTTTTGTCATATATGGAACTTGGGTGGTCTGGTCAGATTAATAGCTAGGGCATTGAGAATGTCTATGGGAAGTGATTGGTGTGAGACGCTGAGTGCTATGTATGTGATCAATGGCAGTGATTGACCAGGCCTGTCCAGTACAGCAGACAGCAGGGCTATGGAGCCCCTCAGCAGGGCGATAACAGAATCAATGCAACACAGAGAGACAGAGAGAGACAGAGACAGAGAGAGAGAGCTAGAGAGAGACAGAGCTTTAGGGTGTAAGGGGGGGATATGGTAGGGCCAATTAAAGCGAATGAGAAAGCGGGGCAGAAAGGAAGAAATAAGAAAGAGAGAGTGGGTGAGAAAGAGATAGGAGGAGAGGCAGAAAATGAGTGAAAAGGAGAATAGAGAGAGTAAGAGAAGGGTGAGATGAATCATGAGATGTTGGTTTGGACCTGAAGACAGTTGTATACTCACTCTGAGCCTGCAGCCATTTCCAGGTATGAGGTGTCTGCTGTGTCCACCCCTACAGGGATCACTATGCTCATGACGTTCTCTGCTGATCAATTCTTGTCCTACTGAGTCCAGAGCATGGGAGTCCAAAACACTGAGGCATGCCAGCCACAGCACTCATTGCAGACATCTAAGTGCATCCACAAGGCCTGCCAACACACAGAGGGAGAGAGAGAGACAACAAGGGAGTTAGCATGGTGCAAAAAGGGACAGTCACCAATATGAAACTAGATAAGTCAGACTGAAAACTGGGGTATTTCCAGGAAGCACAATGATTCATAAATTCAGCTGTGTGAGCTGTAGTTACTAGCTAACGGCTAGTAACACGGAATGATAGGAATTTCCCTAGAGAACCCTCACCCACCTCACTGGCTACCTGATACATTGATGGATGCAAGGGGGAAGAGGAGCTATAGTAAGGCGATGCCTGGTGTCAGTAAACTGGGCAAATGCAACCTCTACACAGACTGCCAGGAATGCAGGATGCTGCGGTGGCAGTGTTCCACCACAAGGGGGTGTGAGAGAACACAGAGCAGACTGGCGGCCATTAATGGAGGAGAAAGAAAAACGCAACAACACAGAGGCCATCTTTTCACAGAGCAGGAGTGTTCTACTGAGCAGAACAGCACACACACACACACACACACACAGACATACACTCTCTAAAAGAAACACACAATCCTTTAACGCTGTAATTAGAGCTGTCACAAGCCCCTGGCTGTGTCTGGATGTGAAAGCCAGTGTTAAATAGCCATCTTGTCTCACTCTCCCTCTCTCCTTCCCCCTCTCACACGGTTTGTTCAGCATTGCAGGTGGACAGGAGATGCATAGAAAGACTAAGTCAATAATTAACTGCATTAGGTGTCAGACAGACTGCAGCCTCTCTGGGATGAAGAGAGCAGTAGGAGGAGGGACTAAATGGTAGGTTGACAGACAACGGAGGTAACCAATAGCCATTCCTGCTAACAGGCAATAACAATGCTATGCAAATAGATTAAATAGACCTGTCCCAATTAGCCTATAAACAAACAAACAGTTGGTGGTAATGTACAGGCCATTATAGCTTATAGCCGTTGTAATGCAATGCATGTGTCCAGACCGGAGCATATGTGCTGCCCCTGATACTGAGAGCACAGCGTTGTTGATAAGTGGGATTAGTGGGAGGGACACATGCCTAGACAAAATAGGCTGGAGTTCACACCTCTGTGTGTGTGTGTGTGTGTGTGCACCAGCCCTCCAGCAGAGAGGGCTCATCTCAGACACACACATTTCGGGTTTACTAGATGGCGGAAACATTTTTACAGTCCCTTTAAACAGAAGGGCCCATATCACAGCAGCTTTGTGTGGCTCAATTAACAATGGAATCCAATTGTTGGTGGAACATTTCCCCGTAACAACAGGACACTTAGCCAGAACACTGAAATTACATAAAATCCTTTTGTGTTATCTCAAAGGCTCAGTATGTTTTGGTGTAGTAAAAATCCCTTCCTTCAGAAACAGGCCGTCTGTTTCCAAGCGTTTTGCTGTGTTCGTCTCTGCCTCTGTCTAAGGGAATCCTGCTGTCACTGCTCAGGAATGCACACACACATGCTCAGCTCACACACACACACACACACACACACACACACCCCCGCACAGACAGATAAACCAAACCCCCTCCCCTTCTAGACCCTTGCACACATTCCTTTGCTGGGAGGCACCCACAGCCACGCGCATACACACACAGCTACAGCCACTGCACCAGAGCCAGACACATTCAAGCCTCACAAAGGGGGGTTGGAAAAAAGGCTAACAAGTACAGTACAGCATTCCTGACTAAATCTGAGTACTGTGACTGCCTCCGACGCTCCTCCCACTTCCTTTAGCAGAGCTGTCTGTCACACGGGACCAACATGCCAAAAAAAGCAGAGGAAAAAGACAAGCGCTCCCTCGCTCTTTCTCCACCTCGCTCCTTCTGCCTCCCTCTCCGTGCCCCATCCACCCCAACCACCCACCGGATCTCTCTCTTCTCCTCTATGCAC